ACGGTTAGCGGATAAAGCAAGAGACTGAAAGTCGGTAGACAAGCATGAATCAGGGACTGAGTTCTGTGTCAAATAGTTCGTGTGCTTCAACAAACAGACTGGATGTGCCCAGACTTACCACACTTGTGGCACTTGACATTGCGAAATTTACAAATCAGTCGAGAGTGTCGCCTACCGCATGATTTGCAAGGGTTCCAGTGGCGGATGTTATTATTTGCAGGTTGTATGGACGTCGGACTGTGATTAACAGCTTTGTTGACACTTTTGAACTGCCGCGTCTGTTAAGCTTCAAGCGCTGAACCACGATTGTGACTGAACAATACTTTTGGCTCCTCACGTACGGCCGCACGTATATCCTGATTTTGTTCACAGACCACCTTTGCGGTTTGAAATGTACAGTTTGGAATCACCAATAACTGCTGCTGTAGCTCAGAACAGTTAATTCCAACAATAAGTTTATCACGAAGCCGATCTTTGAAATTACAGCGTGCAGCCTGAGTCTGCAGCTGAAGAATGAAGTCTCAGACAGACTGATTAGGATCACGAGCAAGGCAATGGAATTTCGCTCGCTCAGCTGCTTCGAAGTTGAGTGGCTGGAAATGCTTTAGTAACAGATCCTTGAATTTTTCATACTTTAGTTGTATTGGTGACTCTGGGAATGCCAAATTTTTAAACAGCGCATAAGCTTTCTTTCCAACAGCTGAGAGAAAATGTGCTGTCTTCTTCTCGGCGTCCAGGCTTTTGCGGGTGGGACACCAAATCTCGAAACGCTCCAAATAATCTTCCACATAACGTGAATTCGAATGAATATCAAGAATCTCAAAGTTGCAGGTGTCCATAATGAGATAAAAACCGGCCGCGACGCCAAATGTGGTAATCTGTACTTGGGATCAGGAATTGAATCGCAATAATCCGCGCAACTAAGCTCCAACCGAACTAGTACGCAGTATGAAATAGAACTCCAGAATATTCGAAGTCGGATTGTATTACGCGCCGAAATTGTACAGAGCAATGGATCATGTAAAGAAATAAGAAAGTTCAGTTTATACGCAATCACCACACAGTCCTCTTTTCTCGTCAATTTGACATCCAGTAACTGGAAGGAAGATTCAGATTCCTACTCTACCGTGAATTTAATATTCGGATGTAAACGGTTGAGTTTTTAAGCATTACTTGCGCTTGTGCGCTGTCATTCAGTATGACAAATGTGTCATCCACGTAACGGCCGTAGAAGTGTGTGCTCTTTATGCATTGTCGCAGTTTTGTACTCTCCAGATTTCCCATGAAGATATTGACCAGGACCGATCCTAGTGGACTACCCATTGCAACTCCTTCAATTTGACGATAATAATCTCCGTAAAAACAGAAGTGTATATCTTTAGTACATAGAAGCAATAATTTTCGGAGACTATGTGTGGGAATATTGAGTTCGTCGGCATATGAACAAACAAGATCCACAGTTTCACTAAGAGGAACATTAGTGAATAAGGAACAAAAATCACATGAGACCACGTGTTTGAGAGAAATATTAAGATTGCGGGTTTTTTCGAAAAATTCAAACGAATATTTCAGAGTGTAGTTCGAAAACTTTTCTTTGATGGGTTAAATGAGTTTGGCTGACCATCGTGCTAACTTTTGGTGGGGTGCTCCAATCATAGATAGTATGGGCCGTAGTGGAATACCATCCTTGTGTACTTTGGGGAGCCCATACATACGAGGTAGCCGAGAGCCTCGGGGGATGAGTTGAGCAAGTGTGGCACTACTAATATGGCCATCCTTATGTAATTGACGTAATTCACGCGCGATGGATTGTTCCACAGTTGCTGTTCGGTAACGTCCAGGGCGGTCAGGAACAAATCTGTTTCTATTCGAAATCACTTCTTGGATTTTTCGATTATAATCCTGTTTATGCATGATGACAGCTCCAGATCCTTTGTCGGGCCTTTAAATGACAACATCGTCGTTCTTCTAATGCTTTCCAATGACCTTCTGACATGATACTCGTCAGTCCCCCCGGATCAGCAACACACAATTGGTTGACTAGATCTACTGTTTTAGCTCTGAACAAACTAAGTGCATCCCTACGATTTCAGACTTAGTATCAAGTTCTTGGGATGCACTTAGTTGCTGACTGACGAGTGTCATGTCCGAAGGTCATTGGAAGCATTAGAAGGCCCGACAAAGGATCTAGAGCTGTCATCATGAATAAACAGGATTATATTCGAAAAATGCAAGAAGTGATTTTGATTTATGTGAATTCTCGATCAGAGGACACCAGATGAATAAGACATTCTTGGAGACAGGGACCGAATGTTGGTGTTGACCAATGAGGAACAGTCATCGTTGTCAATGGGTTACAACTTACCAGCCTGCGTTTCTTGGTCCAAGATGGACACTGGAGTCGCATGAGCCATGAAAAGATGCTCATTTGAGACAACAAATGTAATCCCATGAATAGTGACGACTCATGATATTGAGTGAAAATGTGGAAATTTCAACAGCATGGCGGAGAACGTGTAAGATTAGCGCACCCAATCGAACGGCATGCGTCAAAGCTTCACGCGCAGTTTGGACCTACCCTCGCCGCCGAAAGCCTTTCAGAAAAGCATACTACGCAGTATCCACCCCGAGCAAGTATAGCACAAAAACGCGTCAGTGACACATCAACGAGAATTGGAGGATGTGATATGAGAGTAAAGGATCTTGCATGTTTTTGTCTTCAGGCATTTCAAAACAATGTGTTCATAAGGTTTATATACAGATCACCAACGAAGTTGGTCAGATCATAATCAATAAAATAAGGGTTATAATTGGGGCAAAATTGGGAATAAAACGAGAACAGTATTGCAGAGAACCCACTAAAGAGTGAAGTAATGTATTTTGGATCAGGATTATAACCGTTTTTTACATTATTATAATCCACAAAGCCTAAATGCAAAAGCACTTTTTGAATTTATGGAAACAATAAATCTACGAAAAATGCACTACTGATATACGAAGTGGTCTCTCATTATGATAAGTTTCAGGGGGCTTGTACCGCAACATCATATTGATAACCGTCCATACCACGAACACTGTGAACCAGTGAGTCCATAACCAAATGGAAGATAGCAGGCGAAACGGAAAAACCAAATGCCAAGAACTGGGAAGTATAAAAACAGAAAGGTGTATTAGTTGTTGCATGGTCACGTGAGTCCTCATGTAACGATATTTTGTATGTATGCATCTTTGTGGTCCACACGTGAAAAAATGACGAACCGTTGGAGTGAGACAAAACATTTTCTGGTTCAACAACAGTGCACCTCTATTATCTCAGCTTTGTATGTCATCTTTTCTGTAATCACTACATATTCTTAGTGTCTTTCCATTGGATTTCAATGGTATTACAATTGGAGTGGTCCGTATGGACGAATCATTCGGTTCCAAAATACCGTTTGATACCAAGCTGTTCATAACTTCCTTCATTGGCTCACCAAGTCCGTATGATAATATACGCCGTTCGAAGAATACTGGTTGCCCATCTATCGACATTTTAACTGGTGGGATCTTCATGTATCGTCTGAATTTAGAACGCGATACCAAATCAGATCAGGTAGTATCTAGTTGGGTTGGCATTGAGATGGAAAGAGCTGTTTTTCATGGCCTTCAAATCAAGAACTGATGATCCTTTTTCAGTCACCAGAAACTCACAATTGAATGAGACGCCTCGAGAATCGGTGCTTTGGAATACTTGCATGCGGACGAAATGTGTGCCACTTTACTACAACGGAAAAATTTGGTATTTCTGAACGAGACAGATGGATGGAGATTGGAATTTGCCACAAGAACCACAGTTCCCAAGAACATTGGCAGACGAACGTTGATCATCTTATGAATGTTACGGAGTGAAGCGAGAATACAAACTGACGGTTGAAAACTGGACGACCGTTGAGCTGCTTGGATGCGGAATCAGAAATCATGACAGCCGCTGCCGATGCAGTAAGAGCATTCACATCTTGCTATTGTTCACATGAATCGCGAAAATTCTGCAGTGCCGGCCAGGGCAGTAATAGCACCGTTTATTGCACATCTAATTAATTATGAAACTGAAAGTTCGAGTCTGAAATACCCCTCCATTTTACAGATAGGTGAAGTTAGATCCAGAAACTCCAAACTACAGATTAGCATAATAACGAATCACTGCCGCGACAGTAAGCGTAATATCTACATACGAATTGGAATTGTACAACACAAGGTCACATATCTACAGTGAGTGGGCATAAAATGCATTCATTCTTCGTGAGGGTATCAACAGCCGTATCAGCAAAAATCAATCAACATTGCAGCTGATCATTCTGCTCAAAGCTGTACAAGCCCTGTTGAGTGTATTTCGAATTCACATTTTGCAAGAACGAATTCAACCGATTGGTTCCCCAGTACAAATCCTTCTTTTCTCGTTCCTTATTAACGACAAGAACGCATATCCTTTCGTTACCACAGAAGTTGGCAAGTGTTTTATCTTCCTGTAGCTTGTAGAGACCTTAGGATAAGTTGTTGTGGAAATTGTCAGTGTAGTGTAACGGTGTCCCACAGTACATTTGAATCGTATGAATCATAAGCGTATTTTCTGTTCACTACCGTTTCAACCCCGTTTACATCATGCAATTTTTCGGTGTAGTAAAGACATGAGAGGTACTGAAGTGGCACCCGTGAACCGCAAAATTCCTGGTTTCCTCGAGTTTTTGAGAAACGTCACACTGTGCTTTTCAGTCTACGAGAAATAATGAATCCACAAGTTGCTGGACTAACGATTAGAACGAAACAACTGCCCTGATATTTAGATCAAAACTTGAGCGGTTTATGATCGACCATGGGAGAGAGAGAGAGAGCAAACAATCACCGAAACAGATAACAACATATATGTACAGGATTTTCAGGCATATAAAGAAACATAAAACCGGTAATGAGTGAGTGAAAGTCATGGACTATGAACAAAAGACGGTATGGGAAAACGGTGTGACTCATTTCTCCGGACTACTGGGGACAAGATCGGAATCCAGTTGCATTAGTTTTTCCACACGGCGTTCCGTGCGATAGGAAATTTGAAATCCTTTAAAACCGAGTTTCCGGGCCCGCTTATGCCTCGAAAGCACGCGCATTCGCGTAACGGCTAGTACCAGTTTCGGGTCCAGTTCCGGCATACCTGGACCAGTCGGGAGACAAGCTTCATCCAGAGTTTGACCGGTAAATATCTGTCGGCGTATCAGTTTCAGATTATCACGCTCCCGTAACGGTTTTTTGCGCGCCTTTAACGATCTATTTTCCGGAAGTGTCTCCAATTCAATGTGTTTTGGAGGCTCATAAACTGGGCGCAACCAGTCAGGAGTGGTGACAGGTGAAGGCATGCGGTTTTCATCGGTATCGTCCATGGATAACGAAGTGGAAGGATTCATGGGCAGGACAAATTCTTCAGCACCTCCTTTCTCCGAAGTCGAGTAAACCTCAGCAGAGGGCTGATCCATTGCGGAATCCACTTGATCAGGTAATGGTGACTGACAGTTTTTCGGGCTTGAGACTTCAGAGGCCTAAAACCAAAACAGTAAAACTGCATATCATTCAATCCTGCAACAACAAAACGTTTGAGCGTATAACGTTCACAAAGAACAAACTGGAGTGCCGGTATTTTACAAGGGATCAAACATCAATAGCTCTGTCCTTCTCGTGGATGTAGCCGAGTCCTCGGAAGCAACAAGACAATATATCAGTGGCACACAAAACAACTACATCAATATTAATGTAGAAGTGGGAGAACATTTTCCACCCATTTGTCTAATTTCTCAGTAGATTTATCTCCCCTTAGAGGATATATATATATATACATATATATACATATATATATATATATATACCAAATTTTGTACACCTTGTGTGGTGAGGAAACTTATACTATGATTAGTAAAACCACCAACAAATATACATATGGTCGCATCTCCGTGTTATGGTGGAGCTAGAAAAAATATCAGATTTATTGACGTCAGATGCTGATATTGTGAGTGCCAGGTAAATATTCCGAGAAGTACGGAACGAAAAGACAAATGGGGCTTACATTCAAAGACGCGGTGGTGGCCCGGTGGTAACGTCACCAAATTACTACCCCGGAGGATGTGGTCGAATCCCACTACCAACACCAGACTTTCCCCATTGTGTCGAATGGCGACTATTTGATTGGCCGCTTTTCCCTTCCTGAAAATTATATCCCTAAGTATTCAATAGAAGACAGTAAAAATTAAAAACTGATTTCATAGGTCGCATTAAACGGCTGCTCATCGAAATGGCCAAATGAGCTCACAGAAATCAGGGTGCTTCTGTTTGATGCGTACACGAAGCGGACTGTGTCTTCGAGGAGAGCGACGTAAGACTGAAAACATTTCGTAATTACACGCTCGGTTAAAAAGGAACCACATATTCAACGCAAAGGTTTCGTATCCATGTCGCCTCCCCCCCCCCCTCTTAAATTTTCGCAATGCCTACGTTCTATGTGAAG